TATATATATATATATATATATATATATATATACATAGTTTATCATATAATTATGCATGTATATATATTATTGTAATACATCAAAACAATTTTTCTTTTTATATTTTTTAAGTATGCATAATGAAATTATAAATTATAAGTAAAAAGTTATTGAGAACTATTAGTTTTTAATCAAGTCAAATATAATTTTTTAATGTAATTTCTAATTTAATATTAATGAGTAACATATAATAAAAAAAACTATAAACATTGATTAATATGATGAGGTTAAATTAAGCGCAAATAATAATAAAACAATAATAAAACAACATTTGCATTATCAAATGCAAAATTAATATATATTAATATTAATTTAAATATGTAATAAATTAAATAAAAATTTCATTTGTTATAAAAATTATTAATATATCTATAATCTATCTTACATTAAAATAAACTTTAATGATACACAAAGCTTAATTGATAATCAGTTAATTGATAATTAAAATATATTTTTGAAATTAATCACGAATTTAAAATTTAAACAATTATAAAATTGTTATTTTATCATTTTTAAATTTTCTGCGAAAATATGTAAATTTCACAATATTATAATAAATGAATTCTAGTTCTATTGTTTAATCCTGACAAGTATGTACACATCGTTATGATTGGTTGAAAACCTCGTTCGGTAGTATCCAATTGGCCGATAAGTTAAAATATTTCGCGAATTACGTCAAACTTGTTTGTAATAAATAAGGTATACTAAAATAAAATGAACAAATTTTTAACATTGTTAAAGACAGTATAATTATTAAATATTTCTTGGTCTTTAATTTTACTTAAAATAATTACTTACCGAAAAAGGGAGCTCCTCCCTGGAAGTCGGACTCCAGTTACGCAATGCGATGTACAAGAGGACACGTGAAAATACAGACTGTGCTGTCAAGTCGATTCGAGCGTCGTCTGCTACGATATCTCGACCGAGGATTATACATGATGCAGGTTGTATGGTTGATTCAAGTGAAGCACGTGTGTTTCGTTATATAGCCATAGTATAACCACAGATAATATCTCACTGTGGTATAATGTCTTTCAAATAGTGATTGGTTAATATATATTATTTGTTTTTTTTTAACCAATCAGTGAAATAATATTAAAAATAATATTAATAATATTAAAAATAATATTATAGCTTTTTACTTCATGAAAAAAAAAATAAGTTAAAATATATACTAATATCTTATGGGTATTAATGAAAACTAGCATATGTATTATTTAAATATTATTAATATAATTAATTTAAATATTTAATTGTTGAATAATTTAAAAACTCATTTAATAATTTAAACTCATTTATAATATTACTATTTTGGAAAATGTAAATATCTTTTACATTTTAAAAAATATATTTTAAAAAAGTAAATTTTTGTAATTAATACTTTAATATTTGAAAAAAATTTGTTGTAAGTTATAAATCATTTTTTCTTTAAAATAATACTTATTTATTTATAGTAACAATAACTAATAATGTAATTTTTATGGATAATTCAATTATTTTTCATTAATGCTATATAATAATTGCTTCAAAGATTCTTCATTAATAGTTTGCAAATTATTTGCATTATTATTTACACCACTAAAATTTTGTTCTATATCTGTATTAAATATATTCATTTCCATGTCATATGTTGCATTTTTAAAAGTATCATAAGGTTTTGATATAATTCTTTTTGTATGGGAGATGATACTCGTAAATGTTCCATTTCTACAGTGGGTGAAGATAATCCATTTTCAAGTGGAAGTATTATCATTGAAAAAAAATCATTTGCATCTTCTTGAAATGGTTTTTCAGTTTTTGAATATATTGTTTTACAAGTTTCTAAAGATTTTTTAAATGTGGAACTATTAGGAATATCAGATTTCCATATATTTTTTGTTCTTTCATTTTTATTGTTTGTTTCTGTACATTCTTCCAATTTTTGTTTCTTATTTGTAATAGTTTTTTCAATATTACTTTCTTTTGTTAAAAGATGTTGGCCTTGAGTATTTATTATTAGCACATATTTATTTTCTTCATTATTTATAATATTTAGCATTGATTGATTTTCTTTTAAAAAATGTTTTTGAGTTTTATATATATCATTGTTTATATCTTGTATATTGGATAGATTTATTGACTTTTGATCTATGGTATTTGTTTGATGTATATTTCCTATTTGTTGTGCTGGACATTTATGAGTTCTTTGACTTACCTATAATCAAATATTGCATTATAAATTAATTAATAAAATGTCACATTTTTGTAATTATGATATACCTTGTATCTAAAATTTTTTCCACATATTGTACATTTGTAAGGCATTACACCTGTGTGAATTCTACGATGAACTAAATATGAAACACGTTGACGAAAACATTTTCCTAAAAAAAAAGGTATGTGAATTATAAAACTATTTAATAAAAAATTAATTTTTTTATATTATATATTATTTTATATTATATTTATTTTTAATTATAAAAAATAATTTATAATAAATTACAAAATTTGCAAATTATAGATTATATAAAAGCATAATTATTGTTTATTTAGTTATTGTATAAGCTATATTATCTAATAATCTAATAATAAACTACAAAACATTGTTATACATACATTGCAGAAACAGAACAATCCATATTAAATTGTTAGTAATAACTGAAAACAAAACATGCATTATTCTAAAGTTTTTATAGCATTATTTTAAACAAAAATTTTATAAAAGTTAACATACCACAAGTTTCGCATGCAAAAGGTTTTTCTCCTGTATGAATTCGTTCATGATTGTGTAAAGTAGATAATTCTTTAAATGATCTGCCACAAGTTGTACATGTATGAGGTTTATCATCTTTATGATATAATCTATGTTTATGATATGATTGTTGGAAAGTAAATGTTTTATTGCATATATTACATTTATAAGGCATTTCTCCTGAATGTAATCTTTTATGTTTTTTTAAAAAATATTTTGTTGTAAACATTTTACTACATATATCACATTCCCATTGTTTAGCTTCATGAGTTTTTAAATGTTGCATTACATGTTGTTCCTAAAATGATAATTTATTTTATTTTTCTATAAAAAATTGTCAAATAAAAATATACTATAAAAAAAAATATTTTAAATGCTAATTAATTATTAATTCTACCTTTTTAAATTTTTTTCCACATGTGGGGCAATTATATTTATTTTCATTAAATATGAGTTCTATTTGTTCACCTTTGGCTAAAGAATCTAAAAATATATATATGTTAATTAATAAGTTTATTATTTGATTTGATTATTTATTAATAAATATTAATATTATAATAAATTACCTAAATTACATCCCATATGTGCTACTCGCATATGTACCATTAAACTACCTTTCATCTTAAATACTTTAGAGCATAAATGACATGAATAATTCTTAAGTAAATTTTCAGGAATAATATTTAAATCTTTTTCATTAATCATATGTACTAATTGTTTATGTAAAAGCAAAATATTATGATCAGGAAAATGAAAACCACATATACTGCAACGTTCAGTCTTTTGTTTTGTTGATGATAATGTTTTTATAAGTTTCAATTGAGGTAATATTTCTTTTTGTTTAAGATTTTCATTTTGATTTTCATTACATGTAATATATAAATTTTCTTGTACATCTTTATTATTAGCTTTTTGTAATGATATGTTAGTATAAGCACTTGAAAATTTATTTATTGTCATTCCATTATTATGAGATTCATTTTTTTCTATTTTATCTGTTATATTTTCATTTTGTTGTTGAGTCTGCATCCAATTTTTATATGTCTGAACACTTTCATATTCTGTTTCTGGATAATTTTGCATATAATTTATCTGTCTAATATTTTGATTAAAGTATTGTGTAGCATAATTTAATTTCATTGTTTCTTGCAATATTTGTTGAGAATCTTTTTGTAATTCTATCTCTTTGTTTTTTTGAAATGTATTTGTTTCTTTATTTTCACAAATTGAATTTTGTTGAGATGTAATTTGAGATGCATGATTTAATTGATTTTGATCAATAGATACTTCTGAATTAAAAACTGGAGATTCATTTTTTGTATGCAAGCTTTGAGAAGACATTGAATTATTTTGAATATTTAAAATATTTTGTGAAAATTTATTTGAATCTGTAATTTCTATTTTAGACACATTCCAATCTTGAAAAATTTCTAAATTATTTTCTAAATTATTAATTGCTGATGAATTATAAGTATTAGGAATAATATTTGTATGTTTCAATGATTCTATTGTATTGTTATTGCTTAAATTAATAGTATGACTAAATAAATGAATAGTAAGTTTATCAATACCAAGCAATACTTCATTACATACAGGACATGTAAGAGGTCTTGTAGCTACACTTATCAATCCTGCTCTCAATGCATCCAATGTTAAAAAACTTGGTTGTGCGCACAAAGGACATGCTAAAAGTCTTGCACACATGTTTCTTACCACTCTTTATTTGTAATATATTTTATTTAAGATAATTAATATTATATATAGTATAGTTTCATATTGTTCTTTTTTATAAGACACTGTAATTGTTATTATTAATATATATTTAGTGATATAATACAATAATATAAATGATAATTACTCTTTTCATTTTTTTTTAAATCAATAAAAATTAATTTATTTTTGACTATTAAAAATACAGTGTGTGTGAGATACAAATTTAAAGCAACTGATTAATTTAAATTTAACATTGTCATCTATAATATTAGGGTTATGCCTGAACTTGACCCAATAGCACAAATTAAAGATCAAAATCATACCTCAAATATCAATAATTAAAATAAAAAATACAATAGAGTAGAAACTTTTTTTTTCTTAAAATACACAGAATAAAATAAAGTTTTATATTTGACAATTTAATTATAGAACAAGGATTTCAAATATTTATCTGGGATTCTTTTAATTCTTTGTGAAGTGTATATAATGCTTTTGAAACTATATTTAGAAAAAGAGCGGGATATTTAAGAAGAAAATATGATAAAATCAAGGATAATTTTATTAAATTGAAGAAGTATAAAATTTATAATAATATAATATTGTAATAAATATAAAAAATATTTGTTTTAAAATGCTGGACATTTGTATGGTCTACCATCCTTACAACAATATTCTCTTCCAGCAGAAAGATTTGTATTAATCCATCCACTCTTACAGTTTTTAATAAATAAATAAGCCTAATATAAAAAATATATACATATAATTATCATAACATAAAATTGCATAAGAATATAACATAAATTCTTTATTATGAAACAGTGTAATAAAACTTACCTTTTCCTTATAACAATCACGTTCTATTGAACTACATAAAATTTTAGAACTATTTGGAAGATATTTAATAATCTATAATAAATATTAATAATTATAATATATATATATATATATATAATATAATAATATATAATATAATATTTAATAAAGAATTTGAAATAATAAAAAAATTAATAATGATATTAATAAAATATATATGTAATAATAAATTTATGTTTTTGTGAAATAACTTACAGTATCTAAACATTTACTTATGCAAATTTTATTTCCAATTGGAGTACATGGAAATGTTCCAGGCAAACCATGAATAAGAGCAGGATTTCCTTCAAGTGATTCTTTATTATCTTTTTTAAACTCTCCATTTAAAAAAAATTCCACAAATGCAGTTAATTGGAGATTCAGTAGTTAAAATTTTTAAAGTATTATTTAAAGCTTTTACTTTAATTTGATTATCTGCTAATATGGATGAGAAAAAGAAAAGAGATAGTAAAAATATTGGATGCATTTTTTCTGCAAAAAAAAATATGTTTATGTCAAGTTTTATCTAAGTAATATTAAATAATAATTATAAATAAACAAAAACAGTTTCTAATAATACATAAAATCTATAAGGGAATTATAAATTATTGAAATAATAGAAAAATATATATTTTTCAATTTATTTTTTCTTTTATAATTAATTACATTACTTACATTACATATAATTAATAATTACTTACATTAATTGAGTTGATTATATGAAGTAATGAAAATTATAAGTTATTCACTTGCATAGAATAATAAAAATGAATAAATTGTGCAGGTTTTATTAAAAATGCCTTGTCTCGTTAAGTCAGCAATTAAAATAGGTCACATACTTAATAAGCAATATTTCATAATACTGCAATCATATTACACATAAGAAAACTTAATTTATTTTTTAATAAGAATATAATTGTAATATATGAACATATATATATATATAAAATAAGAAGGATATTTTTATAATAAAATATAAATTTATACAGTGTTATATCTAATATATTGATATTTTATTTAAATATTGACTTTTTAATTAGTTTTGCATTTCCTTTTAAAACTATTTTTTCTCCATTTGCAATACAAATATATTCACATTTCATAATTTTTCTTATAGAAACAATTTGCACTTTTATTTCTATTATATCCCCAGCATAACACGGTGCTGGAAATTTGAAGTTTTGCTCAACTACTATAGTTCCTGGGCCTGGAACTTTTGTACCAAGTATTCCTGATACTAAACCATTAAGTAAAGCACCATGAACAAGATGATTTGATATTTCAAAATGTATTGGATTATAATCACCAGTTAATTTAGCAAAATTTAATATATCATCCTTTGTAACTGTTTTAAAAACTGATATTTCATTTCCAGTTTTTAGAGTTTTTAAAATATCTGAAGATCCTGTGCAATATTTTTTTAACAATTTAAAAAATATTTTTGTTTGCATTTTATTTTATATTTAAGATGATTTAAGTTGTAATATAATTTCTTAAATTATTTTATTTTTTAAAGTTTTAAAATTTTTTTATATTTTAAAATATTTATTATGTATTTTTAGAATTTTCAATTTTATCTTTTATTATAATACAATCATTAAAAAATATTGTTATCAAATTTTTTATACGTTTATTTTTACTACTTGATAGATGAGATATCTTTTCAATTAATTCAGTTGTTACTTCATTTTTAGAGTCAGGATTAATTAAAAATATTAAAGTGGTAATTATTGAAAGTATGGTATCTTCATCTTGTAAAGAAAGTAGTGATGTTAATAATTGAATACCTTGGTTACGTAAAATATATAATTTATTTATTGGATCTAAAATATAAGTTTTATTTTAATCACTATTATCATAATTAAATATATTTTATCAAAATAATAATTTTTGAAATAATTATATACATACCAACACAGATATTACAGATACCTCCTACAGCAAAACGAATTAATTTTAAATTATCTTCTGATAACGTATGAAGAAACAAATCGATTATTTTTAATTGTCTTATATATCCATAATTAATAGGATCATATGCAAAATTAGCAAGATTTGCCAATATTTGCTCTTTTGCATCTGTGAAAATAATAATATTGTTCTAATTTTATTTAATTATTCTTTAATTATAAATAATTACATATTTCATATAAATTACCTTTAGATTTAGTCGTTTTAAATTCTGTAGCTAAAAGTTTTAAGAAATCATAACGACCAATAGAATTTTTACCAGTACGTTTTATCAATTGTTCCTTACTAGTAAACATAAGAGAATAATTTTCTTTTATATTATACAAAAAAACATTACACTTACTAATAATGATTAATATTTAAATCATGTTATTTCGTTAGTTTAAATAGAACATTTTTAATCACTATTTTATATTATAAGCAATAAAGACTGTTATCTACGTTATTATTCAATAAAATATTCTGATTAATATTTAATGCAATAATATAAAGACAGGAAATATTAATTTTATAATATACTACAAAAGACAGTTAAGTAATAAGATTATTCGGATATGACGTTTTAAGATAACATTCTATGTGCATTCAATATGACTATCTAATTTAAATTATAGTCAATGACCGGATGTTATATTGATATAAAATTAATCCTATTGGCAATCGAACTATTTTTAATTTTATCTTGTTAATAAATCCAATCAGCAATTTGATATTCACATCGAACATGGTGTGTGTCTAAGCGCAAAACATTATTTTTAATATATATATATATATATTCTATATATTTACATATATATATAGACATCATTGGGAGTCATGATTAACACGTAGCCGGTGTACAACGTGTCTCTTAACAGTTCTAGCCTAAGTACATAGTGGTTTGATAATTTGTTGTGAACTGCTTGATTTGTAACGTGTCGAATAAAAACAAATATTAATATGTTTATGGCAAATGTTTTTTAAAGTTTAACGAAAATATTTTTCATTATATTTATAGATATAAAAAAAATATGTTGTCAAATAGAATATCCATTACAAATACTAGAAAAGATATGTTTCCCGATAAGAAATCGTCATCTAAGCAAATGAAAACTTCTACATTAACAAATGCTGCTGGTCTTAGTTCTCTCATTACTTTTACTGTTTTGCTACTTGCTTGGATCTCAGGATTTGCTTCTCGATTATTTGCAGTAATACGTTTCGAAAGTATCATACACGAATTCGATCCTTGGTATGTATTTTTATGTTATTATATTAAAATATATATGTATATATTAATAATTTAATGTAGGTTAATATATTTTGTTTAATGTTTATTTAATATCTTATAATAATATATTAATGTATATTAATTAATAATTTTAGTAATATAATAATATGTAATATATTATATTAATATTATATATGTAATATAAATATGTAATATGTAATATATTATATAATATTAATATTATATATTATTTTATAATTATAATATTAGTATAAAATAAAATATTTATAACATAGGTTTAACTACAGAGCCACAGCATACATGGTGCAACATGGATTTTATAATTTTATAAATTGGTTTGATGAAAGAGCATGGTATCCATTGGGTCGCATTGTAGGTGGAACTGTTTATCCTGGATTAATGATAACATCTGGATCTATACATTATATATTACATTCTTTAAATATCCCAGTACATATAAGAGATATTTGTGTATTCTTAGCTCCAATATTTAGTGGCCTTACAGCCATTTCTACGTACTTATTAACAAAAGAAATATGGAGTGCAGGAGCTGGTTTATTTGCAGCATGTTTTATTGCAATTGTACCTGGTTATATTTCAAGATCTGTAGCAGGAAGTTATGATAATGAAGGCATTGCTATTTTTGCACTACAAATTACATATTATCTTTGGTTAAGTCAGTTAAAACTGGCTCTATTTTTTGGGCTTCTATGACTGCTCTATCCTATTTCTATATGGTATCTGCATGGGGTGGTTATGTTTTTATTATTAATTTAATTCCACTTCATGTTTTTGCATTATTAGTTATGAATCGATTCAGTAACCGTCTTTTTACAAGTTATACTACATTCTATATTTTGGGTCTTTTATTAAGTATGCAAATACCATTTGTTGGTTTTCAACCAATAAGAACATCAGAACATATGGCAGCTGGAGGTGTATTTGGATTATTAATTTTTGTAGCAACTCTCAGGTATGTTAATTTAATATATTTTCAATATTAATTTGGTAAATATTTCTATATAATTTTATTATTATAGATATTTAAGAACTGTACTTACAAAATCTGAAATGAAATACTTTGGAGGAATAGTTGCAGTTACAGCTGGTATTCTTTTATTTGCTTTAATTTGTTTAACTTATGCTGGTGTTGTTGCACCTTGGAGTGGAAGATTTTATTCACTTTGGGATACTGGTTATGCAAAGATACACATTCCAATAATAGCATCTGTTTCTGAACATCAACCTACTACATGGTTTAGCTTTTTTTTTGATTTACATATTCTTGTTACAACATTTCCTGTAGGTCTCTGGTACTGCATTAAACGTATTAATGATGAACGTGTTTTTGGTAAGATTCAAAATAATATTATTTTGTTATAAAAATTATTAATTATTTATTTTACAGTTATATTATATGCTATAAGCGCTGTTTATTTTGCTGGAGTAATGGTACGACTTATGCTCACTTTAACTCCAGTTGTTTGTATGCTTGCTGGAGTAGCATTCAGTGATCTTCTTGAATTGTTTTTTAAAGAAGAAGATAATGAAAGAAACGATCGAAGTAATAATGGTAGTGAAGAAGAAAGTGAAGAAGAAAGAGAAAGGAGTCCTGGTAGAGCATTATATGATAAAGCTGGTAAACTTCGTAGAATGAAACATGAGAGACCTAAAGGCAATGGTGATGGATTAGGTGTTAATCTTCGAAATGGTGTTGTCATTGGTGCATTTATGTTAATGATGATGTTTACATTGCATTGTACTTGGATTACAAGTAATGCATATTCTAGTCCTTCAATTGTTCTAGCATCATATAGTAATGATGGAGGTAGAGCTATTCTTGATGATTTTAGAGAAGCTTATTATTGGTTAGCACAAAATACACCTATTGATGCTAGAATTATGAGTTGGTGGGATTATGGTTATCAAATTGCTGGAATGGCTAATAGGTACATATTATTAAAAAATAATACATTAAATGTTTTATGTTAATATATTTTATAAAATGATATATAATAATATGGAATATTTTCTATTTTAATGTAGAACTACACTTGTGGACAATAACACTTGGAATAATTCACATATAGCTTTAGTTGGAAAAGCAATGAGCTCAAATGAAAGTGCTGCTTACGAAATTATGACATCATTAGATGTAGACTATGTTTTAGTTATTTTTGGAGGAATGATTGGATATTCTGGAGATGATGTTAATAAATTTCTTTGGATGGTACGAATTGCTGAAGGCGAATATCCACAATACATTCGTGAAAGTGATTATTTCACTGAAAAAGGAGAATTTCGCGTGGATTCAGAAGGATCACCAACCCTTTTGAATTCACTAATGTATAAATTAAGTTATTATCGATTTGGAGAAGTAAAGATTGATTATCGAACGCCATCTGGTTATGATCGTACACGTAATGCCGAAATAGGAAATAAAAATTTTCAGTTAACATATTTAGAAGAAGCTTATACAACTGAACATTGGCTTGTTAGAATTTACAGGTAATTCTATAAATGATAATAACAAAATTATGAATTAGTTTTACATACACAAATATTTTTTCTATATAAATTTCTATATAAATTTTGTAAATATTTTTAATTTGACATATAATTTTAGGGTGAAAAAACCGAATGAATTTAATAGACCGACCATTCCAATATCTAAACGAATTGTTACACGTAATGCTAATTCATATGTTAGTAAAAAGGTAAAGATTTTATGTCTTATAATAATAAATTAAAATTTTTATTTTCGTACAGTTTTAATCGTATCGTTTCATATTTTTTAAATTATAACGTTATATAATTTTGAAATGTAGTTGAAGTTGTGGGGGGGGGGACATTAATGTTTTAGACACCACGCCGAAAGAAAGGTTATATAAAAGGCCGGCCAACTATTATTAAAGGACAAAAACCTCAACGAAAAACTACGTAACATACATTATTATCTAATTCATAATAATTTTCAAATACAACTTTTGTAATAAAAAAAAAGAATTACCGTCCCTTGGGTCTGCCACAAACTATACCTCAAATTAAGATTTTAATATCATTAAAAATTGAATCAATTAAAATATAGAATAAAATAAATTTTCAACATTGAGAATAATTGGAACAATTTTTTAACGAGAATAATCTTCAAAAAGAGGATTTAATTTTACTTATTACAATATATATTTGTTAATTTTCCTAAAATTCATCTTTAAATATTATGTATAATGTTTTTACATATCTCTTAAGTAAAATATAATTCCTATATGATAACAATTTGTAATAAATTTTTATAAACAAATTCACATTTATAAAATAGAAAAATGGTATCATTTTGCATTTTAAAGATTTTTGTACTTAAGTAGTTTTTTAATTTTTTGTTTATTTCATTTATTATTTTATATATATTATATTCAAATTGCAAATTATGAATATGAGCTTTGAATTATTAATGAAAAACATAATACGGAAGTTAATGTGTAAATTTTTGTTATATGTATGTAATGTACACTTAACACTAATAAGAAATATTCACTAGTCAAAATGAACAAAAACATTTATTAAATATCAGCAGGTGAGATCAGAGGGATTAAATACATGTTATGTACACAATTTATTATATACTATTTTTGTTGAACATTTATTAAAAAACAAATTTGTCATTTAAAAGTAATATATTGGATTTCTTTTGTATACTATTAAAAAATATAACAAAAAAAAGAAAAAAAATTAAATTTTATGCAATTAAAAATTTTAAATAACATTTTACATTCAAGTCTAAAATTTATTCTTAATTATCTTGATCTAAAATATTATTTCTTATTTTTATTATAAAATATATTATTTATAATATGTATATAACTTATTCTAATTATTATTTTTAATAAACATATGTGTTTAAAAGACATGTTTATGACAAAATTATAATTAAAATAATTTTAGATATACAAAATAGAAAGTGTATATATAATCATTGTATATTTAATTATAAAAAAAGAACAAAAAAAAATACAGATGAAAAAAGTACATATTATTAAGAATATTATTTTAAATGAAATTCTCCTATATATATATTAAAAAATTTGCAATTATATTACTGAAATGTTATAAAATATAAATATAAATTATAATATAAATTAATATAAATTAATTAAAAAATTAAAATTATAAAAATAATTTAGTATATAAACATATGAAACATGTAAAATAATAATATGTACAAAAAACATATAAAACAATTTATGTAATTTATATATCTATGTTATTGAAAAAAATAACATAATATTTGGATCTATCAAATCTTTTTTTGCAGTAGAATATTAACAATTATAATATTAACAAATATAATAAACAATTAAAATTTAATAAATAACTAATTATTTCTTAATTATTAATTAATAAAAATTAGTTAAGTAATTAAAATTATAAAAAAATAAATCAACAGGTGGTATTCTGCAACATATAAATAAATATAAATAGGTTATAATTTTAAATGTCAAAATC